CAAGGGTGACCGTTAATTTTACTGTTAACATTTATAGGCAGCTAATCATCACGCTAAGTGGGAATGTGAGAAAACGAACATACACCCATTATATACACCCATTATATTCCAATATGCGGTTCCTAAGTGATAGGAATACATTTTGACCATACAGTTGACACAAAAGAGAGTTACATGCATTTATTTCAAACATGTACTGGGTATATGCGGCACTTTGCGCATGCCTTCATCCAAAATTGTCTATAATTAATTTGAACATTTTTTGAACTGGAGGTTTGGTGGCTGTTTTTTTTTTTTTTTTTTTTTCTTTTTGCATAGCAAATCAGTTCCAACACTGCACTGGGGAGTGGCCTGTTCGCTAATCTCCGTCAATCATTTTAACAGTCTGGGGTTTGTTTTCTTTGCATTGCTATCAGGGCGTGGTTTATCTGGCACTGGTTGTTGCATACGTAGTTTGTGATGTAACTCGGATCAGATACTGGGAGTGTATTAGTGCTTCAGGGTTGGCCTATAATGCAAAGTAGATTATATATATGGGCAGTATAACCTTCCAAACCATCTATATAATTCTAACTCGTTCTGAAATACTCACATGAAGAAAACGTCTTGAGATCATCGCATCGAGTGGGCTAGATTGACGCCTTCCTTTTTATAGGTCTTCTATGAACACAGCAAATACTACGTACTACCTATCAGTACATATGAACATGAATTCGTCCGACGATTATGGAAACGCAACAGAAAACCTTACTAGCTTATGGAATCAGCCAGGATTTTTTGATGATACCAGATGGGCCAACATCATCGTGACTTTGTGGATCATTATCGTGGCAATTGTTGGAACATTCGGTAACATTTGCGTTATTATCATCACAAGAAGTACTCCGTCTCTGAGAACATGGTGGAATTCATTCCACATTAATTTAGCAATAGTCGATTTGTTCATGTCAGTCTACGGGTGCCCGGTATTCGTTATGATGGTTTGGTCATGGGATGAATCGACAATTTCTATCATATGCTTTCTAGGGCGTACTTTAGCCATGGGTCCACTTATGAATATTGTCATTTTGGCATGTATTAGTGTCCTGCGAGCAGCAAAATTTCACAAGCCTACTCTGACTATCCGTAAGCATCTTTTTAGAATATGTGTAAGCGCACAATGGGTTCTAGGAACAATCTTGGCCTGTATTTCCGTGTTGAACGATGCATTTGTGATCCCATTACAATGTCACAAGGGCGACGAACAGTCAGGTGTGGATTTAGTCGTAACTACATGTATCTCTATATTTGTGGGCACCTGCATTATAATTACGGTCTTATCTTACTCATCAGTCGTGAAGAAAATCTTAAAGCAACGCAAAATGATCAAACCATACTATACTGGATACACCATTCAAACAGTTTCTTCCAATGTGGCAAACACTTTTTTGGCGGAAGATCGCAACAACAGAGGAGAATCATCTTCTCCGACTTTTACTCCTTTGGAGACAGTTTCACCATGGGGTCAAGAAAGCAGTCGTGCTGGTGTACCAAAATATACTAGAAACGTACAATCCGATATAGAAGACATTTCAGATAGAGATAGAGACGATCAGGGAGGACCAGAACTTCCGGCTGCTTCCACCTCGCAGCAAACAAGTGTAGCGCAAATATTCAAAAGAGAAACTTACGCGAATGCTCAAATTAGATGGAAAAGAGACAACGAGAACCCTGCTTGTGACACTGTCGATATAATAGCTCAAGAAACTACCGAGGTAATGGATGTTCGATTAGGTTCGGACATACACTATGTAAAAATCATACAGATGGATCAGCAAGTTATTTTGTCTAGCTTAATTTTACTGGCCGTATTTATAATTAGTATTTTGCCTTTTCTAATCACTAATATGGTATTCACATTGCAATCGCCAAGTCTTGATATCAATCAGTATATTACCAGTCTGTTTGCATGCTCATTTGGATTTCTTAATACATGTGCTAATCCATACATATATACACTGAGATCACGCGTGTTTAGGAAACGTGTTAGTTCCTTAGTTCGTGATATAACTAA